GTGTATATTCTGTGTAGTTTTACACACACGTGTGTATATTCTGTGCGGTCTCTGGTGTAGGTGTGTGTTTCACCGTGCTGACGAGCGGCGGGACGCTGATGATGTTTTTATTCGCTTCTTCTTCATTCTCCGGGGTAAACGTCACGGTCTTCGGTTTTCTCTCGGTTTGTGGCGTTTTATTCCCGGTCAATTTCGCTCGTTTCGTCTTCTTTTGTGCCGCTCGCTCCGCTGCACGTTTTCCTCCGCGCGCCGCCATCTTTCTCTCCCACGTCACCGGAAGCGGAAACGCACTCATCAAACAAGCGTGATACACTGTAGCAATGTGACACAATAGACCCTACACACACTCACACACTCACACTCACTCACACACACACGCACACACACGCACGTGATCACGGAGAAGAACCGCAGCATTCCGGAGGTCAGAGGTCTGATGATCTGATGCTGATCAGATGTGTGTCTTAGGTTCTTCTCTGTGCTCCTTCCAGCTGCAACACGGCGCTCGGATCCAGCACAGCAAAGAGCATCTCATCAGAAACAGACAGTACAAGATCATGCCCAAAACAAGCGCAAGATTCGCCGGATTCAGAAACTCATCCCCAACCAGAATATATCAGACTTTTAAAATGAAACCACTGCCTATTTTTCAGATTCTTCTACAGCACTGAGATACAAATTCAGAGCAATATTCACATGAGCCTTGTGTGTGGATGAAGCTTCATTGATTCTATTGTAATGTGTTTATTGAAGGACTGTGATTTTATTCTTGTTTGTAGCATTAGAGCGGTTGATGTGTGATGTGTTGTGCGCCCCCTGCTGTCATAATAATGAGAAGCTGACCCAATAACAGCCGAGAGTTAAACAGCCAATCAGCTCGCGAGTCTGATTGACCAATCAAACGAGGGCAAATACTTTTAAGGCGGGGTCGGCGCTTCTGATTGGCTGTCCAGCGTATTTACATCGTGCAGAAATGAGAAATCAACACCTGATGAAAAACTAGAATCCCCTTCATCTGAGCGAATATTCCCGACATGATCATAATTATTCACGTGTTCTCAGTTTGATCAGCTGATTGTAGATGCTCTCTAATGACTAAAGAACACTTACCGTGTGATTACAGTAATAGTTCTATTTGTTTTGAATAGTTTGCATTCAGCTAGGCAGTTATTGCATTAATAATGCTTTAGGCTAATAATGTATGTTTTCATAAATGACGGACAGTTTAGTACTTTAATAACATCATGACTGCGGTTCTAAGGGATGTCTCACATCAGTTCTGCGGAGCTGCAGGAAACTATCACAGTCTGAATGAATCCGTCGCCAAGAAATCAGTCCGTTCCGTTTAAACTTGTTCATTCTGTTCCGTTTAAACTAAATTAGAATGATTTCTGTAGCAACGATGCTGAAAACTCAGCTTTGCATCACAGGAATGAATTCCATTTTAAAGTAGCCTATATTAAAATAGAAAACCACTGTTTTAAATTGCAATAATATTTCACAATATTACTGTTTTTTCTGTATTTTTAATCACATAAACGCAGCCTTGATGAGCAGAAAAGTCTTCTTTAAAAACATACAAAATCGTACTGATCCCAAACTTTTGAACGACAGTGTAAATACAGAGGTTTTCGTTTAATAATAAAAAGCTAAATAGAACGAACACAATTTTAGTGTAAATAAGTCATATTTTGATTTTCCACCTTCAACCAATATGCGATGACGTTGAAGTGGAAGCCCCGCCCACCGACGCAGCTGCGTGCGTGCGCGCTCCCGCGGCAGCTGAGCTGAGTTGGTTGGATCCGGATCCGGATGCGGTTCGGTTCGGTTCTTTTATCGCTCCGCAGCGTGACAGCTGGCTTCGGTTCGGGTCTCCATGACAACAGAATCAGCGGCGTGAGTAACTTTAACAAACGAGCACAAACACGCCGAGATGTTAATGAGGGATCAAACTACAGCGGTCCGGTTCGTGTTTTGTTTATGTTTCTGTCTGAGGGCTTTGTGCGCTTGTCCTTTAAGATCCACTTACAGGAAAATCCTGTTTCTGTTTCGTGGTTTTCTCACTTGCGTGAATCGCCAGAGACATAAACTTAGAGAAGTAGTTCCGGTTGGAATGTTCCTCCGCGGGATGCGTGCAGTTCTGTTTATTAACCGCTAGAGCGCCAAACGTTACATAGTGCTGCTTTAATACACTAAAATGATTCTTTAGTACTTCTTAAAATGAACTTAAGATCATCGAAGTGTACTCAACTGTGCTATTTTGTGCTAATATTAACTTTTAACGTACTATCTCTGTATTTAAAAATGTATTTAGTTACCACTTGTAGTACATTTGAACCATCTTTCATACACTAGTACACTCAAATGGTGACTAAATACATGTAAATACAAAGAGAGTATGTTAAAACTGCATTTTAGTTCATATTCATGGTGTCCCAGTTGAGTACACTTCGATGATCTTAAGTTCATTTTAAGAAGTACTAAAGAATAATTTTTATTG